CATTTTGAGTTCATTTTTATGTATGATGTGATGTTCACCCTTTCACATTTGAAAATCCAATTGTACCACATTATTTATTTAAGAGACTATTCTCTCCCCGTTGGATAGATTTAGCCCCTTTGTTGAAAATCATTTAACCATAGATGTATGGGTTTTTTTCTGGGCTCTCAATTCTGTTTCATTGTTCTATATATCATTATATATGTACCAGACTGTTTTAATTACTGTAGCTTTATAATATATTTTGAGTTTGGGAAGTGTTAGTCTTCCTACTTTGTTCTTCCTTTTTAAGATTGCTTTGGTTATTTGGGGCCCCTTAGAGTTTGATATAAACCTGAGGATTTCCACTTCTGTAAAGAAGACTGAAAATTTTGATGGGCGTGGCCTAAATCCATAGGTAGCTTTCAGGTAGTAGTGACATCTTAATAATTTAACTCTTCTGTTCTGTGAGCACAGAATGCTCTTCCATTTATATAGGTTGTCTTTAATTTCTTTTACTAATATAGTTTTTAATGTACAAATCTGAAACTAAAATTTTGATCGTTATTTTCCTTCTCTTGTTTTGCGTTTTGTAGGTGGTAACAAATGTTCCATGACAAATGAGGATTCATATGATCTGTTTGATTCCAACCTGGCAGTTCCACCAAATTCAGGTACAAAGTTGAAGTCTTGGAGTAACTATATCAGGGTTGGGTGTGGCAATAGAACTTTTTTAATTGAAGAGAAGAAGGTCCCTGGGCCCAACTCAGGATGATGTTTGGTAGAGATTAGTGGTATCACATTCTCAATCATTAGTTGGGATTAGTGTGATCTCCTCCTCTAAACCAATTAATCTATCAGTAAGTGTTCACTACTCAGCAACCTCATTGGTCTCTGCTACCCTAGAGTGAAAATTGACCACCTTAGTGTAGCTTTCAGGGCCCTCCATATCCAGCCCCAGTGGGCCTCTCCAGCCTTACTTCTCTACCCTCCTGTAACCACACATGTGATGCTCCATCCTGCCAGTGAGCCTGCTTGTTCCTCCGCTGTGACTTGCTGCATAGCCTCCCCTTTTTCTAGACCACTGTTTGCCCCATCCTCTGCCATTGAAAATCCTACTTCTCACTGGAGTTCTCATCACAAACCTAAATTCTCCCAATTAGAATTATTCATCCATACTTAGGTTTTTGGTCCAGAGGTAAAAAGTAACAGGATTTCATTCTTTTTACCATAATTCTTGCTATTGGTCCAGCCTAGATCAATGGTTGCTTCTAGAAAGTCTTCCCTGGCCTCTCCCTCCCTGCACAGAACTGGATTCTTTTTCTGAGCATCATCTCTTTATTGTTGTGCTATTGCAGCTCCCACACACTCTCTGTGGGTTCTGAGTGGCACCCAGTGTGATTCATTGGTGTGAATTGGGTCGTCCATAAGGAGCCTTGGTAGTGCAGTGGATTAAGTGTTAGGCTGTTAATCGTGAGGTTGATGGCTCAAACCCACCAGCCACTCCACAGGAGAACTATGAGGCTGTTTGCTCCATAAAGATTTAAAGTTGCTATGAGTCGGAATTGACTTGATGGCAGTGGCCTTGGGCATACATTGGGTCCTCCATAAATGTTGGTTGGGTTTAACTGATCCTTTCCCATAAGACAAATAAGCCTAGTGTGAGGTAATATACAGACCGAGTTCCAGAAGCCAGGTCTCCTCTGCCCTCTGGACTGTGTCACGTGAGACATTTAGGACTGAGAACCTCTCTTAGCCCTCCCAGCTAGCTTCAGAACCATAAGCTCCTTGAATGTCGAGTACTGCCCTAAATACATCTGCCATCTTGCCTCTCATTTCATAGCGTCAAAGACTCTTCTGCTCTGTGGAGAAGGCATGGGCTCACTCTCCTGCAACAGTGGCAGCTCAACCACCAGCAGCCCATGCATGCCCCGCCTAGTCCCTGGCCACCGCCCATGGGCCAACAAGAGTGGACACCATGTCTTGGGCTTGATCGAGGACTACAAGGCTCTGCGCAAGCAGATTGACCAGGCCCAGAGACTCCTTGCTGAAATAGACATCCAAATCCAGGAGGCATCTAGCCCCACAATTGGAGAGCTGGGAACAAAGGTAACCCAACTGACAGAATTGGAGGGAGGGGGATTCTTATTGAGGGGGGAGTAGAGTGGAAGGAATAGGATGAGGGGTTAGGAGGCAAGAGGTCCAAATATCCTCAGTAAGGACCTGAGAAGAGGGACTGGGAAAAGTAGTTCACAAAGCTCTGAGGTCTGGTCCAGTCTGTGGGACCATTGTGTCGTGTGCTGTTTGAGTGGACAGTTTGTTGAAGTTTGTACCCTGTGTTACTGTGATTTCTTCATTGTGAGCTGCATATGCCAATGACTGCCTCTATGTATTCTCTCATCCATCCATCCACTTACCCAGTTAGACTTCCTCCATCTGTCCATCAGAGTGTCCATTCACTCATCTACCCAGATCTATCAGGCCTGCATGCTCAGGCTCTAGGGCTACTGTGGTGAACAGGACAGATAGCTAGACCTGTCTATAGGCCCTTCCCCTCAGGAAGTGGTCAGCTACATCATGTATGAGTGTGCTAATGTGAGATAGCCTACATCCGTGTCAGGATAGATGTCAGCTCCTAGCTCTTCAGGCAGAGGAGCTGAGTTTATGATATTTTATCCCTAGAACTCCTGTGACGTAGGTCATGTCAGTTCCATTCCATTCCTTTTTTTAAATTTTTTCTTATTGTGAATCGAGTGATAGTTTACATGGGAGAACATCGGTTTTATACTCATCCTATCGTATTTTGTTTCATTGCAATGTCCGTGCATCATCATTCAATATATTTCAACATCATAATTCAACAGTATTTTCCTCTAGTCTCTGTGTTTTGTTTTTATGTACATCAAAACACTCATGAATATACAATCATATAAACAACCAAAGGGCACATTCTGCAAGCCTGCCTCCTGGCTGCCAACACACAGCCCCTCTCCTTCCATGAGTCTAGTATCCTCTATTGCTCTGTCTCTTCATGCCATCATCTGTGCCTCCATCCTTGATGTCACTGCTTCTCTGTATAGGGTCCCACATTCCGCTCATGCTCTTCTTCCTTGATGGTTCTAGGGTCCTCTGTTCCTGGAATGTAAGATTAACTACTTCCCCCTTTTTGTTACAAAATTTCTATCTTTACAGTTGTGACAATCACAATTAGTCATGATAACAATTGCTATTGAATCATAAGAATCTTATCCCCATATCTTCGCCAGACCCATCTACAGAAGATGAAAACTGTTCAGTGGGGATTCTACCTTCCCCTGCACACTCTGAAACTAAATTCCCTCTTGAAAACTTGTAAGCCAGTCTGTCTCTTCATGCCTTTATAGAACCCCATTTTAGGTAGCCAATGTCTAAGTTGTATACAGAGGGGATGGTAAATGATCCTTGCTGTGAAGATTCTTTCCCTCTTGGTTGGTATTTTAAGCTACTACATCCATTAGTCTAAGGAAAGTTCATCAAACTGTAGCAATTTACACTTGTTTTCTTTATCAAAAGTTTCCATTCCATTTTACAGAAGCATTTTAAGGAGGAATAATTTGGAATGGTCAAGATTTGAACTCAGCTCTCCATACTCCAAGGCTCCCTCTCTCTTTCATGACAGGACATTGCTAGTCATCTTACTCACCTGTCCAGAAACCATCTCTTCTCCCTGCGTCGAGTCTGGCTGAAGCTTACACCCCTACTTGTATCATCTGCTTTCTCACTATTATTTCCTATTGTAAGCTATCAGCCCTTGCTCGCCATGTTTCATCTGGCAGTTCCTTTAATCTTGCTGTCCTTGCCTCATCCTTTTAGGATCTTCCTCATTTCAGTCACCCTTTATTGAGGACCAGGTGCTTGAAACATGTTTCTTCATTCACTCCCATTTCTTGAGTCAAATTCCCATTTCCCCTTCAGACTGATGTCTGAGCTTATATTGTTGTTGTTAGGTGAGCTGATTGTGGGCCATATTTTCTGGTCCCCTCCTCAGATCCTTGCCGAGGACACCTGAATCACCTGTTTCCTGACACTTGTTCTGCCTTTTGTTATGTTTGGTTTTGCTGAATTGCAAAACTGCATTTCCACTAGGTGTAATAAGCTCTAGGGAGTAGGGGTAGGGTCTGTTTTGCACAATATTGTACATTCAGTACCTAACAGAGGATCTAGGTGCGTGGTAAATATTTGTGGAATGACTTAATGAATATTAGCAAGACTGTTGTTCTTTCTGGTTGTAATCTGTATTGTATAGAAACTAGAAGCTGTGGGAACGTATCAAAAGGGAAATATCTACAAATACACCACCAAGAGGTCAATGCTGTTAACATTCTGATGTGTATACTATTAGTTTATTCATAGTTTTACAAAAAAGCTCATAAATAGATGAATCTTATATTTTAACCTCTAGTTAACTTAATATTCTTAGTATTCATTATTTTTCCAGAATTTGACTTTGTTGTTGTTGTTGTTAGGGGCCATTGAGTCCATTCCAACTCATAGGGACCCTGTATGGGGTTTCCAAGGCAGTAAATCTGTATGGGAACAGAAAACCTTTTTTTTTCCCACAGAGAATTTCACTTTAATGGCTACAAAATAAACTAAATACACCATCATTTATTTTCTCATTCACCTGTTTGTTGGACGTGTAAGCTGAAATCAGCTGCCATATACATACGTCTCTGATCACATCTTTGATTAGTTCCTTAGGATGAATTCCTAGAAGTGAGATTTACTGACTCAAAGAGTTCCAGGAATGTTTTAGAGCTTTTGCTAACTATTGCTATATTACTTTCCAAAAAGACTTGCTTCTCCAGTTAAAAGTATCTGTTTTTCTGCACTCTTGCCATCATTAAGTATTTTTATTTATAATGACTTTTGCCAATTTATAGCTAAAGAGAATTGTGTCCTTTAATTTCCTATTGCTTTTATTACTCTTGAAGACTAATGGTGTTTTTATTTTTTATTTTAACTTTCATACTCTCCCTTCTCTGAGTTACGTCCTTTGTTTTCTCATGCCCCTGCCATCCCATCCACTTGAGTGTGCTTCTGCCAGCAGAGGGTGAGAGAGACTTACCAAGACCCTAATATCATATTTTCACTAAGCAGAGACACTTAACAAGGACTGTGGAGAAAACCAAACAAGAAACAGTTAAGTTGCTTCACTAGCTGTTGGTGGTGTTTGCCTTCCAGAGAGTCTCCATGGGCTCCAGAGCCATGCGAATGGTTCTATCAACAACAGTCCCCTTGGCGGAATAAATATAGTTAATGCTAGTTGTTACTAATCATAGTTATTGATTAGACTAAAATCACCAACGAAATTCTCTTATAATCTATAATTCACCAGTCTTTAAGAACAGTCAGTTGGTGGCACCTGACGCCATGCTCTTGCGCAGCCTGTGAAACACAGCCCCGCAGCCTGGAGGTGCATGCTGCCCACTAAAGCTTACTTGTCCATCATCTTTCCAAGACGGCATGTGACAAATTTCTCTTCCACCTGTGTAGGGTCCACACTTGGCACCTCTGGGCAACTTGGTCACCAGTGTGAGCACAGCCAAGCTGATCCTGGAAGAAGCCTCGAGGTTACTGAAGCTTCTCTGGAGAGTCTCACTCCCTACAGATGGCACCCATCACTGTGAGCAGGTAGGTGTTGACACCTGGATCCAGAGTCCCAGAGATGCCTGACGCTGCGCAGCTGTGCTCTCAGGTTGGAATTTGCATCAGAAGAGGGGAAGGCATGTTGTTTATTAAGAGGGATGTGCCAAGCACTGTGCTGACTGCTCCACCCATGCACTTAGCTGATTTCCCAGCATCCTGTGAGCTCCACTCATGGCCCTTATCTGACTGTGCCCCTTCCTCTAGCTCATCTTTGTGGAATTGAATCCTTTTGTGAGGAAACTAGAACTCAGGGAGTTGAGGTACTTACTCTAGACTAAAGAGCTGGTTAGAAAGTGTAACTATCTGGACTCAAAGTTTATTCTTTCACTTCATAAACTTTATGTTCCTGTTTGCCTCTCATGGACTAGCTCATTCTTCACTACTCAAAATCCCTTTCATTTTAGATGCCTTTCTCGGGATCTTCAGACTCCTATTGATAGCTTTCATCACCATATGTTAGTGAGTCTTGTTCAAAATGTGTTTTAAGTACTTAGGAATGGCAGACTCCAAATCAAGAGTCAGACAGCAGATACTGTTCGGAGTTCTGTCCGTAAGATATGTGTGGTGTTAGGACAAGGTGAACACCCATTCTGCAAATCAGAGAAACCTCCCTGGAAGGAGGAACACGTAGGAAGAGTTCAAACTCTCGGTTTGGGGACCTCAAGGGTATTTCCCCTCTAGTATATGTAACTTATGAATTCTTGCCAAAGGCCCGCAGGAAAGAAGTGGGGAAATTTACATTCCACATCATGACCTCATTTAGTTAAACCCTTCTCAACAGCTCTCAGATCTATAAAACAGAAAGCAAGGAGGTAGCAGGTGAGGCTGCCCTCTCTGCTCTGAAAGTTCTAATGACCTTGCTCCAAGAATTTTCTCTTGGGATTCTGGAGAGGAGGCTCCAGTGCCTTAAACTCAGGGACGTACATACCGAATCCTTATGCAGGAAAGCCGTGCTTTACCCACTTTTAGTTGGTGAGGGCATGGGGTGGAAGATGGATGTGTCAGGGAGGAAGGGTGAGGGATCCTTGGGTTGTAGCCCCACAATGGCCTTTTCATTCTTTCACGCAGGCCCTGTGGCTGCCGGAATTGCCTCTTTCCACTCCTTCCCCAGTCCCAGACCCACTCCTGATCAGCTGGTTACTTCTCACTTTTCAGGTCTTGGCCTGTTACTTCAAGGTCAGAAAGGGCCCCCTGACCTCTCAGTCAGAGCATCCTGTTCATTTGTATCACAGCCTTAGCACAGCTAGAATTACAGTTTTGCTTAGTATCTGTCTCCTTGTTTCCCTGAGAGGACCATGTTTGTTTTGTTCAGCATTATATACCCCATGCCTAGCGCAGTACCCGAGGAGCCCCAGTAGTGCTGTGGGATACGTGTTTTGCTGCTAACCATGAGATTGGTGGTTCAAACCCAGCAGCCGCTCTGCGGGAAGAAGATGTTGCAGTCTGGGAAACCTCCTATGGGTTTACTGTGAGTCAGAATCAACCCGATGGCTGTGAGCAGCACAATCCTGGTCCATCCGAAAACCCACCCAAACCCCTTGTCTGAGAGTAGCCCTGCAGTACAGAGGAGACCTGCTCACAGGCTCTCCAGAGCTCTGACTCCTCAGGGAAGCAGACTGCCGCATCTTTGTCCCATAGGGCAGCTGCTGGGTTTACAGTGCCACTGAGTGCTTAAACACTGTGCCACCAGGGCTCTTGCTGGGTTCATGGTGGTGGTTATGTGCTGTGGAGTCGGTTCCGACTCATAGCAACCCTGTACAGAGTTTCTGAGCCTGTAAATCTTTGTTGTTGTTATGTGCTGTGGAGTCGGTTCCGACTCATAGCGACCCTGTACAGGGTTTCCAAGGCTGTAAGTCTTTACGGGAGCAGAAAGCCTCATCTTTCTCCCGCAGAACAGCTGGTAGTTTCAAACTGCTGACCTTGCGGTTCGCAGCCCGATTCGTAACCAGTATGCTACCAGAGGGAACAGAAAGCCTCATCTTTCTCCCGTAGAACAGCTGACCTTGCGGTTCGCAGCTCGATTTGTAACTACTATGCTAATGATAAAAACACATTTGTGAGTCAGTAATTTCCTACCATACATATCCCCAGTAAGCATGTGTCTCATGGAATCCTTGAGACCCTTCGTGTCTGAACTGGACAGGCAGCCCTGAGAACATAGATTGCCTGCTGCTTGTATGTTAGCAGCAGGGCTGCAGCTCTGACTTTGATCTCTGTAGTCCCATACAGCTCCACCACTTGCCAACTAGGCAAGGGACTGGTCAGTGCTCATGACGATTCTCCTTTCTTTCAGAGGATTCCTCGGGTAATTGATTATGCTCACTTAAGCATCATAGAATTTCAGAGCCAGAACAAGGACCTTAGAGATGCTTCACTGTTATTGCTGGTGTCCATAGACCCCCTGTGTGGTGTTAAATTGCCTCTAGCTACTCTTCTGTCACTGCCTGTGTTTCATACTGTGCCTTTTGCTTTGTGTGAAATGTATGTAAAGCAGATTTCTAGGTTTTTACCAGCAACTCCAATGGTTTTTTGCTACCTGGCAGTTTCTCTGAATGTCATTAATTTGCTTTTTGCATTTAATACACTGTCCCCTGCCCTCCAAGCAGCCATTAGCCTGCTCTAGAAAGTATGTAAAACATTCATGTGGTTATCTTAAGAAAGTTGCCGGGAGGGTGAGCAGGGTAAATATGTACACATATTTGCTTAACATAATTTTTTAAAATGTAAGCCTAAACAACAGCAATATGTATAGGTTACACACAGAGGTAGGAAAGAAGAGAAAGGAGGGGACAGGGATGGAAGCTAGATTTCTCTGAATACACCCTGCTTGTAGATTTGACTTTGAAACTGTAGGCGGTCTTTCTGTAATTACAAATAAAAATAAACCAAAGTGGGGAAAAACATAATTTCTGAAAGTTGATAGCAAGATGAAGCAAGCAAAGCTTACTGTAGAAGCATTGGTGGCATTGTCTGGGTCTCCCTAGTGTGAGTACTCTATGGTCATGGGGGACCACCAAAGAAACAAACTGTTTTTAGTGATTATATTGTTAGTGGTAATTCTGGAATTGATATTCTGAAACTAGTATTTAAATTGTGGGATAAAGCAATTTAATTATGCTAATTTCATTAGTTTCTGAACTATTCACTATAAAAGAAATACAAATAGAAAATCAAAGAAAACTCCTGTAATACTAAATTTGAATTGGAAATATCAGTATGATAATATAATGTACTTCTGTTGAAAAAATGTCCTAGCTCTCTCCACGTGAACAACTTTAGAAACAATCAATTCATGCCAATTAGCTCCCTTAGCACCCAAATCTTCCCAGTAAAAGAAACCAATACTCCTTAGGGAAATGACTTGATTCTAAGTCTGGAGCAGGAAATGTATAATATGAGCTTGAAACATCTTCTCATTCTCGTAAAAAAGGTGGGCAGGAAAAAGAGGGAAAGGGCAGCTGTAGATTTATAGTTGTTCTCAAAGTCTGGACCATGGGCCAGCAGCATTCCCATCACCTGAAATCTGCAGGAAACTCTCAGACTCTACCCCAAGCCTCATGAATCAGAAACCCCAGGGGTGGGGTCCAGCAGTCTGTTTTTACAAGCCCTCAAACTGGCTTGACAATCACTGGATTAAAAGAAACGTAAGGAACACATCAATCGAATGTGAAGTCTGGAGCTAATTTGACTCCTGAATTAAACAACCAATTTGAAATAATAAAGTTATGAATCAACTAGGGAAATGTGCCCGTTGACTATACAAAGGGGTTTCAAATGTATATGTTAAAATTTCATCTTACACAAACTTGTTGAAGCCCCTGAATATATTTGGTGGTGGTGGTTGTTGTTAAGTACCGTGGAGTTGGTTCTGACTCATAGTGACCCTGCACAGGGTTTCCAAGGCTGTAAATCTTTACGGGAGCAGAACACCATCTTTCTCCCACGGAACCGCTGTGTAGTTTCAAACTGCTAACCTTGAGGTTGGCAGCCCGATTCGTAACCACTACGCTACCAGAGCTCCTTAATATATTTGGTAATACTAAGGAATTCTTAGAATCCTGGTATGTCACTGTAGGCTAAGTACTGGACTGCTTACTGGAAGTTTGGCAGTTCAAGCCTACCAACTGCTCCTCAGAAACTGTATAAGGGTTCGCTATGAGTTGGAACCAACTCGACAGAACTTAACAACAGCAAGGAGTTATTGCCCTTTTATTTTTAGATACGATGATGACAGTGTGGATATGTTTTTTAAAAACCAGTCTTCTAGAGATGTTGTTAAGAGATACATACTGAAATATTTTATAGACAAAATGGTCTGACTAACTTCTGGGTTTGTCTTCAAAATAGTCTGGGGGTGCTGATGGGCAGGAATCTGTAGATGAGACAAGATTGGCCAGGGTTTCATAATTGCTGAAGCTGAATGCTTGCCTGGTGGCTCGTTATCTTTTTATTTCTATTTTTGTAAATGTTTCAAGTTTTTCATTGTAAAACTGAAAGCAAGGGGGGACAACCTGCTCCAGAAGTAAGCCTGGAATTGAACATGGGAGAGGAGGTGTGAAGCCTCCCCAGCAGGGAGTGGCGCTGTGGCCCCCTCAGGTCTGTTGTGGTGCACACTTGTTGGGTATCAGGCACTGTGCTGTCCACTCGGCATCTCACTTTATCCCTTTCAGTAAGCTTCAGAGGGCTCGGGATGATTCCCTTTTCTCTGGCAGCAGAAATTGAGGCCCTGAGAGTTTAAGTGACTTGTCCCAATGCCATATAGCTAGGAATTGACAGAGCTGGGCTTTGAAGTCCTGCTACTTCTCCATCTTATATTCATTCTGTAAAAATAAAGGTTTTAATCTGGTGAAACAGCAGACACATAAATAATTAAAGTTCCTGTGCTGAGTCCTGGATGGAATGTGAAGTGGGAGTTAGGAGAGCACAGATGAAAGTTAACCTTCCAGTGGGCAATGGTCTTGCCGCACTGCTCTGGGCCAGGCCCTGTTGATCAGAGGAAAGACGTGATTTCTGCCCTGAAGGAGCTTGTCACTCAGTCAGGGAAGCAAACAGGTAAACAGCCTGTGACAGCTCAGTGTGGAGTGGGCAGTGATAGGAACCACAGGATGCCGTAGTGCCCAAAGTAGCAGTAGCCAACCTAGACTCCTGGTGGGGAAGAGACTCAAGGAAGGCTTTGTGGAAGAGGTGCGGCCTGAGCTGACTGTAGAAAGATGAATCGGCATTAGGCACCTGGGCTGTGTGCATGATCATTACCATCTTCAGGCACTGCCTTGTTGGAGTCTGACTCTGCTGAAGTATACTGGGTGAGTGTAGGTATCACCCCACTGTGCAGGAGTGGGACTGAGGCTGTGAATGCCAGGTGACTGTTCTCGTGTATGGCCATTGGAGCCATGACCAGAGTCTTCATCTCTCTGAGCTCTTGACATGAAGACCAGAATTGGAGAAAACCTCATGTTTAAATTAGGAGCTGTCTTGGGAGAACAGTTGAAGCCCTTGTACCTGACACTATTGGTTAGTCCTAGAAATAGACTAAAGAGGGGAATCAAAAAAGGATACATACCTTAAACATTTTAGTTCGACTTAAAACAGATAAATGTACATTCATTTGCCATTCTTTTGATGTAGGGCCAGGGCCTTTTCTCTGAATAGGAATCTACTGATTGGAGCTCACAGCTTCTTTCTTTCATAAACTACATCCATAATGTACGTCTGTCACTTCCAATTTCTGGTTCTTTAAGATGAAGAGAAAACTTAGACACTTGCAAAGCAATTTGAATATAGCATTCTTCTAGACGTGCTCCTCCCACGTCTTTTATAGTTGTCTCACCCACACCTAATTTGCCAGAAATGTGTTTTTTAGTGACTTCCCTTTACATCAAGTCTTTCCTGAAGCATATGTTAGTTTTCATACAACCAGTTTTCTCTTTTTGTACACGTTTCATGGGCTTACTTAATATTCCATTAAATGATGTAATTTAATTACAAGTCCAACTGCTGTAAACAAGTTTGGGAGCTAACTAAAGAAGAACCCTGCAAGCTGATGGCTCGATGTGTCACATAGCAGAGTTGCAGCCTGTGACAGGGCATCCGTTAAGCGTATGTCACAGAGAGAAAGTGGGCGTCTGTACCCCGCAAGCTGGGAGCATCCCTGGAGTGTGTGTGTGTGTGTGGAGGAGGGGGGGGTATCAGAAGACTGTGACTCTTCTGCTGGTCCCCGCCCTCCTTGCCTCTCCACAATCCATGCAGGATGTCTCCTAATGCTGTGTGTGTTTTGTACTTTCTGCTCGTTACAATTTGAACATGAAGACACAGAAAACCAAAATCGAAACAACTAGCATTATAGTTTTTATAAAATAGTATACAATTCAAATCCTTTTTTTTTTTTTTTCAATGTAAAGTAAAATATCCCAAATCTTATCTCCCAAAGACACTCCCTCTTCCCATTTGATCTCGATGCATGCGTCTGTGAACATAGACACAGATCTCTAGGCTGGTGTCGTGGGAATGCCTGGTGTACTGTCTGTGTTGTTCAGTTGATGTTCTCTTCTCTCATGATCATCTTCCCGTGTCGGTAAACATACAGCTCTACAGCATCATTTTTAATAGCTCCAGAAACATAGTCTGTTGTATGTAAGTACCTCCATTTACTTATCCAGACTCTTTCAAAACCAAGTGTATTTTTCTACTATGACCATCTTTGTGCATAGGCGTCTTCTTGGGTAAATGCCAAAGTGTAGAATTGCTGGGTCAAACTATGGCCAGGATGCCTCCTAACTGGGCCCTAACAGTCTTGCAGTTGCTGGCATTCGTGGGCATACTGTCCTTAATACCATTACCTCCCCATGATTCTGTCCATATGGGTCACTCTGATCAACAGAAAATGGTATCTAGTTTTTATTCAAATGTCTTTATTAGTGAGGCTGAGCATCATTTTATATACTTTCGTAATTCTTCCTATGTGATAATGCTTGTTTATATTCCGTATTCATTTTTCTAATTCCTTTTCCTTTTAGGTTGGAGACATGAAGGCAGAAATCACCAAGTTACAAAAAACATTATTCGAACAAGACAAGAAGTTGCAAAACACCGTCAAGCTCTTACAGCTGAGCAAGCACCAGGAAAAAGTCATCTTCGATCAGTGTAAGTGAAGGGCGTGGCAGGGTGGGCCGGGCCAGGCCATCTCCTGGTCCCATGTCTTCCAGTGCTGCTAATGATTATCCTCATTCTATTTGTAGTCTTGCCCCCTTATTTATAGGTTTCCTTTCATACGTCACCCTTTCTGAGTGGCAGACAAATGTGTTCACTTAGTACACCTCACTGGCAGCACCATTCCATGCCTGGGCCGCCGGCTCTATGAGGAGACGGGCCTGGAATGGTCAGTGATGGGAATGCAGCCGGTGTCACAGGAGCACTGGGACCAAGTGACACCCACGCTGAGTCTGGTGGAAGGGACAGTGCTGACCAGGCAGAGGGGAGAAATCTGGTTTTGTATGTGAGAAACTAAAAGCAGGTCACGCTGGTGAAGTACAAGCTACAAGTGACGAGTTGCGGCTACGGGTCCAGGGACTGCTTTGTGAAAGGCCTGATGTGCAGGCGCTGGGCGACTTCCACTTGGAACACAGGCCCCACCTGTCTCTTGTCCACGTACAAGGACTCTGGAGCCACGCTGCATCCAAGAGGAGGCTGATTTAGTAGTCCAACAAGAAGGAACACCGGATGAGCCAGGGCAGTGGGGATTAGGAAGAGAGGGTAGATTTGTCAACTCCTTCTTAAGAAAGAGAAATACAAGTTTAGATGGTTACATAGCTCTGTAAGGTCAGTCCCATCTCTGGGTTGGTGCTTCAGAGATTGTTGGAGCCACTCGGTTTCCCAGTTACCTGGACGTTTGGAGAAGCAGGCAGCAGTCAGGTTTATGTTAGTGCCTCTTGTCAGTCAGCACAGCCCTGGCCAAGCCTCACGCTGTCCGTGTGTCAATTTCCCTGTCTTCAGAGACCTGCTGACTGCTGCACTTTCCTCCCTGGCAGGTGAGCCTGCGAATGCTGCTCTTATTAAACTCGAACTTTTCTGGGTCATTCCTGAGAAGCACAGAGCACAAAGTATTGTCAAGTAGGAGTTCTCTTTGGCCACCCCCCTGGGACCCTTCTGAAAATGTTCTCTGGGTGAAGTGTTACATGCCCCCAGGCCAGACTCTGAGGACAGAAATGGTTCTTGGCAGCACAGAGCTTCAGCTTCATGGGGGATGACCTGGCAAGTGCATTCCAGGCAGCTCGATAGGCACCTTTGGGGCACTGGACTGATTGGGTCTTGAGGGGTGAATAGGAGTTAGTTAGATGGTGGAGACAGTAGGAGCAGGGTCCTGGCAGACGGCATACTCCCGGAGGTCAGAGAGAACTGAGAGGTCAGGGACATGCCTAGGACATGCCATGGCTTTTATTGTAAGAGTTGGTGTGAGGGGGAGCCAGGTCATAAGGACCCCTGTGGGCTGAACTTGAGTGAGCAGCCTAGGCCACTGGAGTGTTACAAGGTCCCAGTGGCGGAGTGTGGAGGAGGCCCAGAGGGCATGGTGCCTTTCTTTGGGGCAGTGGGGAGGCTGCTGGGTGGGGTGGGGCTGGGCCTTAGGAGGGAGGGAATGGCGTTGAGCGATAGTAAGGAGGTGGACCTGGTGGCAGAGTGCTGGATGTCTGAAGGGGTTCTTGTCACTTGCAGAGTAAGGGTGTACTGGGAGGGGCTCTTGGAAAGACAGTGCCAGTCTTGCTCATGTCTTAGGTGGCTGAAGGACATCTGGTTTGACTCTTGGACCAGTAAGGGGATGGGATGTTATGCTTTTCTACATCAGGACTTTATAAAAGGCTCCTTAGTTTCCTCATCTGTAAAAAGAGAGATGATAGCACCTAAACTCAGGAGTTCTTAGCATAGTCACTGGGACAAAGTAGATGTTCAGTGAAATTAGCTCTCCGCTGGGTTGGCCTGCATGCTGAAGGCCTGGAGGAGACAAACCATTACCAGAAAAGCAGCCAACACCTCATAGCATTTGCCATCCTGTAAATCTCCTCATGGAGCCAAGGCTGAGCTCAGAGCCGGCCCCGTAACTCCCTCTCTTAGGCCAGACTTTGTAGCTCATCACTTACAGATCTGCTTCTGGCTCTAAAGTGACTACGTGAAAGTTGGAGCCGTGTCCCCTCCTCCTTCACCTCAGGGTGACAGGGAAGAGCGAGGGCCGAGGACTGGTCCCTGTGAGACAAGCTGAACAGTGTGCTCCTGGAGTCTACAGGGGAAAGTAAGGAAAGGGCTTTATGATGTGGCCTGGGACTAGAGGGATTCAGGGGGGTCATAGTTGGTAAGCAGACACCGCACAGGTTAGTGTCTTCCTGCCAGCACTCTGTTGACCTAGAGAGATCCCTGGTCCTGGTGGCACAGAGCTCACCCAAGCGCTGTCTTGATTTGGGGCCCTGCTTTAGTGGAAGTGTCTGTGTTTGGGATGTGGGCAGTACTGCTCAGAGGTACAGCCCGTCCATCACCTTTAGAAGTCACATTTCTCACTTCTTACCTTGGGCCAGGTGATCCTTAGCTCTGCTACTGTGAGTTTTGTTTTTTAGGTACATTGAGTGTGTTTCAGATTTATTTTTAACTCTCACAATTGCGATACTTAAATCTTTTCTGGGTCACAGGTCCCTTGGTGCATCTCAAGAGAGCTATGGTCTCTCACCAGATAAAGTGCATACATCTGTATACAGCCACAGACTTGTACCTCGTTTCTGGGGTTCAGGAGCCCCCAGAGCAAATCCACAGTCAGCATGAGGTGAGGGTAAAGGGCATCACAGAGAGTGAGGCAGTGGCTGCGTCTTCATTTCATTTTGCCTACTAAGAAAGAAACAAAGTCCCAACCCTCCGTCCTTTCCCCAGCATCACAGATTGCAAACAGATTTTGTTACCTCCAGATCGAAATTTTTGTGAGGCAAGAAATAAATATTTTCTCAAGGCTACCACATGGCAACTATTCTGAATAAGCCACTGGGGAATGGGTGGATTTGGGCTGAGTGTGTTGGGAACTGAGTCTGTGCCAGCCTCCAGCACTGTTAGCCAAAGACCTTGTGTCTGTCCCTGCCCGAGGAGTGACTGGATTCCCTGGCCCCATCAAGCCCTGCTTAGAACAGATTCCTGACCAGGCTCAGAAATGTCTTCAGTGGTGACATTCCAGCCACTGTTGGAGTTGGTACTGAAAGAGAAAGATTAAGGGGGGACATGACTTTCCTTTACAGGTGCTCCCTGAAAGGCACTCCTGTGTCTCCCCGTGAGTTCTTATATACTGAGGACCTGCCCACTACACAGCTCAGAGCATCCGGGTGGGCAGAGACCTCTGAAATTGCCTCATCCATCCCCTCCTGTTCAGGTAGACCATGTTGGGTTCTTCTACAAGTTAAAGGGCAGATTGAGGAGGGCGGAAATGCCCAGAATTCTTTCTCTCAGGTCATGAGGAGCCTCCTCAAAGAACTGATGTGTAAGGAGGTCTTACTTGACAGACTGTCTCCCCGCTTGGCTCAAGCTTAGAGCAGGACACAGCCCCTTCACAGAAGGCTAGGAAACGACATCAGATGGTAGTCAGGAACTGGGCCACGGTCCTCCATCTTCAGCCTCCCAGGCCCACTGCAGTGGATCTTAGACATACCTGGGGTCCAGGAGGCCATGCAGAGCTTCGGGTGTATCCTCTATAAAGTGGAGCAGTGCACTGTACCTTCTGGTATTGTCATGAGATCGTGCCTAGCCATGGCCTTGAAGAGGTGTTTCTGGTCACTCTTTCTTCTTGAGGTGAACCGTTGGCCCTGGGGTGTATAATAGGACAGCTGGGGCCTTCATACTTCATACTGTGCTTTGGTGTGAATACTTCAGAGTTGCCCCACATCTGGGTCCTTGTGTGTGTGGTGGGGTTTGGGGGAGCGGTGGTGATCTTCCTTGAACTTGGCTTCTGTACGATTTCCCTGGACTTGTGTGTTTCTAATCATCTCTCTTTCCATTCTCTCCACAGTGGTCGTAACCCACAAAATTCTTCGGAAAGCCAGAGGAAACCTGGAGGTAGTGCCTCTTTGGGTTTCTTTTGTTTAAAGTCATCTGGGGGTTGGGGTGGATGGGGTGCTGCAAGGACTTCTGGTGAAAACTAAGTTGAAGGTGAAACCTGTTCATTTGTCGGTTGTGCATGAAGTTTCAGTTAATCATGCCCTGACATTAATGAAGGCTCTAGCGTTTGAATGTTTATACTTATTTTACACATGGGATGCACAGCAAACAGTCCTGGGACATAGTAAGTTCCTGATAACTAATTCTTGAGTGAATGAATACAAAGTGATCTTATTGTCATTTTGTCTTATTAATATTTACTGACCAAACAGTAAGACTTGAAAGCAGTTTCAGAATAATAATCTTGCTTATACTTTGTCAAAAACCCTCTATTGGACTTCAAACTCTCCTTTTTTCTCCTTTTACCCAGCTCAGGCCTGGAGGGGTCCATCCAGGAACATGCAGCCCCAGCCGGCCAGGCTCCTGAGGCGAGCTCACAGCCAATAAAGCTTGTGGTTCCCCCACTGAGACCAAGTCTCACGTCTCTGTTATATGTGCGCCTCCTATTTACTGAGAAGAAAGGACTGTCTGGACAAAGAAAATCTCTTTTCCTCGATGTTTTCCCTCCCAAAATGGGTTTGAGGGTTATTGAAAAACGAGGTTCCGGTGTTCTGCTACAAGGTTTAGGAAAGACTTGGAGCTTTCCGGGGCTTGGTGTTTGGGTTCTTGAGTAGGTAGCTGGACACGGGACATCACTGCACGTCCGCTCCTGCATTTGCCTAGTATTTGGCCAGTGCTGTAATGTGAAGATTCTGATTAAATGATTCAGATCTTTTCAACTTGGTTATTCACCTATTTCATGTAGAGTTAATGTCCAGTTCCCCAACTCCCAATGGGCCTGGCCAGAGTCTTGAGAGTCCCATTGTCCTCAGATACCGTTACCAAGCCCACCGGGGCTCAGAGACAACTGAGTCTCCATGCAGATGGCCAGCGGCCTGGTGCCTGCACCTGTCACAGGCTCAGCCTCTCTCAGTCCCTTTGCATAGCAGCTCTCTAAAGTAGAGGCCAGAACTGGCACATTGCATTTGTCATTGCCCCAGTGATGATAATGATGTGTCCCTCCACTGTGCCCATTGCTAGGTAGTGGGTTTGCTTGCTATGACCCTGTTGTTGACCTTACTATTATTTGTCCTTTAACTTTGCTTGCCCTGAGCTAAGCTTTGTTTGCAGATGAGGTAAGTGAGACTGGTGCAGGGTCCCTGTGAGGAACAGTGAAAGAATAGGGGCTCCATGGCCGCGTGCTGCCCACTCTGCCTTCCACAGCAGGCACCAGCTGGACAGACGGACACGCCTGCAGTCAGGAGGAGCGATTTGAGTCCTGGCTCAGTCTTCCCCTGTGATGTCACTCCTCCAGACATCATCCACTTGGATGGCCCCTCCATTTGCCATGAAATCATTTATTCTAACATTTCATTCTCTGCCCATGATCACCTCATGTCTTGCTCTCTTGTCCCCGGGAACAAGATCCCCAGATCTCTGCTTTGATCTTTGTTGGTTTCTAGGTCCCTTGACCTTTTTCCCTATCTGTCAGCTTCTTTCTCAGCTTCACTTTCCTTTCAGTCAAGTTTCTCTCAAGACTTGCTTCCCATACCCAAACCCTGTGTCATGCAGCAGTCAAGATGTGTGGACAAACCAGGCATCTGGCCAGGATACTCTCCTGCCTGAAACACTTAGGTGGCATTCTGTCACCCTCAGATACAAGTCCAGGCCCCTGCCGGCCTCTTTGGGCCATTGCGCCTCCTGGCTCTCCCGCGTTCTAAGAAGCTCAGGCTCCTTCCCCTTGCCAACCTTGGCCCTGACGCGCCCTTTCTGAAATGCCCCTTTGACACTTCCTTCTACTATTGTTAAAAGTTCCTTCAGAAATCATCTCCTTAGGGAAGCCTCTCTGACCCCTGACACTGGTGAAGTGCTCTTCCTCTGGCTCCCATGTCTCCCATGCACCCTGTCTGTGAATAGTTCTCACTTAGCTGAACTTCTGGAGAGCAGAGTCTGGTGTTTATTGCTACAGAGCTGAGGAAATGGAGCAGGTCCTGCCTTCATGTTGCTCAATGATTGTGACGGCTCCATTGTTCAGTCTAGTCTAGTCCACAAGCACCTTCACCCTATTGCTTCACTGGACCCGTCCAGTGCCCAGAATCGCCCCTGTATTCACAGGGCAGCCCAAGTGACTGTCCAAGGCTTTTGACTGGCCTTGATCCCTCCTGTCCTTCCAAACTCTCCACTGCTTCCCACTGCTGCTCCTGCAGCTCCCCAGAGGGGAGGAGCATTTGAGGTGAGGTTGTGATTAGGTCAGCTGAGGGTCCACAGAATGGAGGAGCAGACGCCTCGGCTTAGAGTCAAGGAAACAGCCTCTCATCCCAGTCACCCCACCGCTGTCTGTTCCCCCAACCATCTAGTGAGGCTCTGGGGCGAGTGGACAGTAAGGGGCTTCTCAGCTTAAGTCATTGTGCTCTCTTTGTGAAACATGTTTGGACAGATGCACCTCAGTTTAATACATAGCTGTGTATGAAAATTCAGATGTGGGCATAAGGTAATATGGCAGTTCCCTTTTCAAAAGGTTACACAATCCCAAATGGAAGTTCAGATCTTTATGGATGCTTCAACATGGTATTATAGAAGGAGCTGGAAGTCTGGGTTCTAGTCTTACTATCATCAGTCTCTGCCTTTCTGTCTAGTTCTGCTAAGAGACTTATCTTGATACTCAAATTTAAGTACCTGAGCAAGACCCTCTTCAAAATCAACGATGATTCTTCAATTTCTCTCTGCAGCAGGTCTTCAAAGTAAGCTTTGAAGCACTATTTTAAGTTCTTATGGCTGGTGTGTGGTGTGTGTGTGTGTGTGTGTGTGTTAGGTTGCACACCATAATGGGTAGAGCTCAGATTTGGGAGTCAGACCAAGGTTGTTCAGATGCTAGCCCAGACCGTGCCTCAATCTACCTCTGTTTACAGAGAACATGCTATCTCCCTGGCAATAGTGTGTGTATTGCATTGGGCATGGGTGTGAGCTTAAAGGGATTCTGATCCATCCCAGGACTAGAAAGTGCCTAAACCCATGCATGCTTGGGAGCAGGGCCTGAGGTGGAGGGGGACCTGGGGGGCCTGTTGGTTACTTGTTGCAATTCCCCCACAGCTTTTCAGGATCACAGTAATCCTCCCAAAAGTATATGTTACCCTTTATTTTAGAGTCGCGTGGAAATACTCCCAACCTAATGCTAGTGAAGGCCCTTCTTCTTGAAGGTGGAAAAGCAGCCTGGTTTGTTTGGGGCTGGATGAGGGCCAAGAACAAACTGCAAATAAGGACAATTTGGACCTTGAGAAAAGCTCCATTGTCCCTGGTGAGTTAATTTTACCAGCAGCTGAATTCAGGAGGCTCTGAAGTGGTAATCAGAAAATGCGTCAATTTCTCAGTGGTGAAATTAATCACCACGTGTACTGGAGGAGCAGCACCTGAGAGAAACAGCTGCAGGGACTAAATATATAGAGAGAAGGAGGGGCCCTGGCACCAGGCCTCCTGCTTGGCCATCACCCCACCTTAAGGGCAAAATCGGCAAAATCATCGTCCCTCCGCATTGTGCATAATCTCACCAATCCACATGACTCCATGCGTTTTACAAATGAGTCATCCCAGTGGTGGAGAGGGATGTGAGCCTGCTAGAGCCAGGATTTGTTCTAGAGTCTGTCAGGGCCTACTCAGAGCCTCTGGAGTTTCCTCCCTGGAATGCTGTCCCAAACTGCGCTCTTGCCTGCTTTACTAAGCAAAGGACTCTCACCTAGCCCTTTTTTCCAAAAGACCCCAGCGTGGCCACAGCAGGGATCCAGGGACCCACACTTCAATTCCTCCACACAGCAGCCAAAGAACTGCCTGTGAAAGGCCTGTGGACAGAGAAAGTGAGATCTTGTTAATGAGTCCTCAGCAGTCTGGCCACCAACAGACATGCCTGAGGGGCCCTGGCCCTGCCAAATTGCCTCTTCAATCTTGGCCATATTTTAGGTCTAACTCAAAATTTCAATTATCACAATTACTCATCCCATCTGAGCAGCCCAGGACTGTGTCTTAGGGGCCAGAGCTGTTTACCTCTTGCTGTTTACCACGGATGTGGCCTGCCCATCACACTATCATGGGAGACTCAGCATCTTGCCCTGGCCCTCAGGGGAGAGCAGGAAGCTAGCCTCAGTTTCTTCTGAAAAAATCACGAGATGTGGAAAGACAAAGCTATATAATGGTGAACTGTGAGGCTCGGGCATTGGCCAAGCCAGTGAGACTTGCTTATTATTCATTCATCTCAGTGAAGGTTCTACTGCCAGCCAGCTGCTAGAGGAATCTTTGAGGCTTACTCCTCCCCGGCCCTCCATCCCATCACAGTCATGGGCACTTGATCCTCTTTACCGCCCAAAGTCATTCCTCTTGTTCATCACCACTGTCTTGGTCCAAGCATTTATCATCTCTTCTGCTAAACCACTCATCAACACCTTTAAATGTCCCCCATGGTACAGCCAGAGTAATGAGAAGCTGATCATGGTGTCCCCCTGGTTTAAAACTTGGAATGCTTCTTAGTACACTTAAGATGTGACCTATAGCCCTTTGTATAGGTAACCTGCCCATTCAGTCTCCTTCAGTTGTCCACCTACACTAGCCATATTGTCTGCTCCAGCCATATTGTCCTTTCCTGTCACTCTGGCCTCGGCCTTGGCACATGCTGTCCCCTGTCTACTATACTCCCACTTACTCTTGACTCTTACACCAGCCTCAGAGCCCAATCTCAAAAGTAATTTTCTCAGAGACACCTTCCTGACTTCTGAGTTTTCCCATTTTTGATCCAGAACCCTTGTTATGCCCTGTCAGAGCACCAGGATCCTCCCTCACTAGCACTTAGCTAGTGTGTGGCTGTGAATTTTTTTTGAGGAATTATACCTCTCCCCCTGACTGAAGCTCCTCAAGGGCACAGAGTCAGTGTGATCTGCTCATCACTGTAGTCCAGTGCCTGGCATAGAACTGAGAAAGAATGTATTTACTCACGGGACATTCCCAGAGCTGTTCTGACCTAGAAAACTCAACAGTGCCGGGAAGAACAGACAATACTGCTGATAAGGAAGATTTGAGGGGTCCTGCAAGCCAGGCAGTCTTTTAACAGTACCGCACATATAATCCTGAAAAGAGGCCTGGGCTGCGATCCCATTTTCCAGAAGAAGCACTGGGGCACAGAGCAGCCTGCCCAAGACCACACAGCCAGCAAGCCGAGCGCTGCATTCTGATGCAGGCAGGCAAGTTGCAGTGTTGGCCCTCCGACACAGGGCTGCATGCAAGTACAGTTCAGCGTGGTCAGTGGGCTGGGCTGGGACCCATACTGCCAGAGTGCCTGTTTGTATTTGAAGCTGGCCCAGAAAGATCCTGCAAGTAACTCCAATGCCCCTGACTTGACCAGTCCCT